TGAATTCAAAACAGAAATGTGGTATACCTTATTTTTCAAAAATCATTGGTTTTTTTTATGTGATAAACCGACTACAATAACTATAATTTGTAATAAACAGTCTAATTTATTAAAGTTAAAAGTTCTGGGAAGTTATACTTGAAGTCTGGGTGTATTGTTTACACCTCGAAAGGTATACTATAAACTAAACAAAAATTAAACCAAACATATTTCTCAGTTGACAGTTCCAGTAGACTTATCTCTTATGAATGATTCATGCTGTAATGTTTTCAAATTTTCAAATCATTCCTATCCCAAACCTATTCACTTCGATGAAATAAAAAATATTAAACTTAATAAAGAAGCGTTCAATAAAATAAATATCCAATTAGACCAACAAGATATGTTACTAAATTCACTTACTGTAAATAAAACGTATGAATTTACCTTTGAATTTATATGCACGAACAAATATTTAGTTGTCGTAATAATAGTATATTTTTAATATATTTTAGAGCAAAATTTTATTTAAATAGGAAAGCAAAACAATTAGCTATAGAAAACATAAATATAAGTAACAATCCTGTAAGTTCTAAAAATTAATTTATTGGAAGTTCTTAGTACGTATTTATATACCTAATATAATGTATTATTATATTATAATATTATATATATTATATTATATAATTGTCAAATATCGCTCACAACATTTATACAATTTTTTCGGAAGTCAATATGTATGTATTTTGTTTATCTTACTTTTTTTTTCTACACTTACCTATATAATATATTGTATAAATACATTTTATTTTATAATGTACCTACCTATTAATAATAAAATAATTCAAATAATCGAATGTATATAATTGCATTGAAATAAATCACCTTTATAAATTCAATTTTATTTGTTACTTTTAATGTAATAATATTACGAATTCGTATAGTTGTGTTGCATATGTATCTAATACACTAATTATTTTATGAGATAAGTTTTAATTTTTATAAATTCTTATATTTTTAACACAATAAATAATATATATTATATAGAAATTATGTTTAAATGTTTTAGAAGGGGTTGTTATGGATGTTTTATATAAAATTAGAGGACTCAATTTTCGATAATTCATTTTCAATAAATTAATTTAATACAAATTTCCATAAAATCGTTTTGTATTTTTATTTTTTGGTTTCACTTTTTTGACTTGTGTATAATTGGTATAATAAATTAAAATATCAAAAATCTAATCCTGCATGTTAACAGATTCATCTCTCCTCTTCAACTTTTATTAAAGGTTTTTTTGCTCTAAAACCAGTCAGTCAGCCGTGTTTTTGGAACAAAAAAAAAATAAGTTTTTACTCACAGCCGCGACTGTCACGTCAACACTGTAACGCATAGACGGTCACGGGCACTGTAATAAATCCAGCATAATTTTATTTTGTTTCATTTCACGAAAATAATAATATGAACATAATTGTATATTATAAATTTATAAAAATAATGCAACGACGTGCGGACCGCCGATAACAGACCAACCGGTTTTGACCTGTCGTTAGGAGCTTGGAGGGAAAAAACTTTGCCGCTAGAAACGAGAGCAGCACATGACGGCCGTAATTATAATTTTTTTACTGTAAAACACCAATTTTGTTCCAATAATACGGCTTACAGAATGGTTTTAGAGCAAAATACCTTAATTAAAAGTTTTAAAGGAGAGCTATATTGGGTGACGTATAAGACTCGATTTTCGATATTTTATTCTCAACATCGATAAAATCATTTTGCGTTTTCTCTTTTTTTTACACTTTTTTACTTGTGAATAATTGGTATAAAAAATCAAAATATAAAAAATCGAGTCTTATACGTCACCCGATATAACTCTCCTCTACAATTTTTAATAAAGGTATTTTGCTCTAAAACCATCCAGTAAGGCGTATTATTGGAACAAAATTGGCATGTTTTTGTACGGTATTTTCGCTGGTTTAGCGTCCTCTTAATCTTAATATAATACGGGTTTGACTGTGTGAAAACATTTTAACTTTTAACTTTTAAGTTTCAAATTTAATTTTAGTACAGCTGTACAGTACAAAAGAATCATCGGCGAGAAACCCGAGAAATAAAAATAATATTAATTACTCAGTATTGAAAACACGAAACACATTTCACATGGAATTATAATACTGAGCATTCGTCTCATATTATACTACACTGGTGGTGCCACCTTATCGGTAAATTGTGTTCGGCTGCATTACAGCGATATCGTCTTGGTGCCATTGGCCATAAGATTCGTATTTAGCTTTTTTTGTTTCAGATTCTGAGTTGAATGTATTGATTTTACAATGTTGTGGGTTTTTATTATTTTATATACAAGTAGAAAAAAATGCTCTGATCGTGAACGTCTATTTTCTAGAGTAATTAACATATAAAATAAATTACAAAAGAAAAACAAGTTTAAGTAACTAAAACTTATTATTCACTATTAAAATAAAACAACATTAAACAGAATGTCAGTGTGTTATATTTCCCTGATCCACAAGCATCATAGTAAATTTAGACTGCGGCTGCGGACGAAAAGACTACATTTTGTATATTATATTAATATATTATATGTACTTATCAAAGTGTTTAACTTTTTCCTATTCTGCGCTATACTTATAACAACGTATTATATTTTACTGAGCTATTTGTTGATAGGAACACATTCCAAGTGGCTATATTATTGCGCCAAAGGTGCAAAAATTACATATAATTTGCGCCAAAATGTGTAGGACATAACACCAATATAATATTATAATATACCTATTATACCCAATATACGGGATAAGCACCAAATATATAAAAATAAATATTATTTGCACCAATATAAGTATCTTATACAAGTATTCCAAAATATATAAAATTGTTTATAATCGATTAAAATAATACACATAAAAATAAATTAAAACAAATATCATTTAAATAAATTGGTTGATTTTTTAATCCAATTTCCTTCAAATATTCTAATCGACTTACTTCACCATCTTGGTTTTTCTTACATTGCACAATATTGATGATATCGTATACTTAATTTTCGAGCTTACACGAATACTTACTAAGTACGTACTGACTACTGGCTACTAACAATATGTTATAAGTTATAACACAACAATGCTCACACACTATTGTGTGACAATATATATCGTAATCAGATAATACATTGGTCGATTAAGATTAAACGTTGGGAGTTTTTGAACTGTTTAGTTCTAAATTGAATATCTAACATCTGGAATGAAGCACACATCTACAGTTAATTTATTAACCGTGGCACAAGGTGTCTAGGGTTTAGTTTAATTTTTTTTGTCACCTCATTTTGGTGTTTTTTTTCTTCCACCGTTCCTAGTGCGTGTAAAAAGTATCTGACGTTTTATACGCTCAACGTTGGTTTTCTATGAACCTATCCTCGACGTTAAACGAAGACTTCGTGGCACGGCGTTCATATTATAAGTAGTGTAAGCCAGTGCCATGCATTTTCTATAAATATGAGAAATGCGTGTGTGTAAAATCTAGACAAATCTTCTTTTAGATTTTGTGCGGAGCGATGAATGTATTGATTTTACAACGCTTTGTGTTCTATTTGTGTGTATGTATAACAGTATAACACGATAAGTAGTCGAAATAATTCTTTGATTTTCAACTCAGTATCTTTTCTGATAGGAAAGTTAACCTAGTTGCTAACTTAGAGAGGTCGTAATGGGAATTTCTAGAAATACGCTTCAAGAAAACCCAAATCAAGGAAAAACAAACGTTTTCAAGCAAAACCAGTTTTCGACAAAATTAATTTAGTTTTTTAGTGTAATTAAAAACCTAATAAAGTAATAACTGTTATTACATTATCATTTTGTATACAGTATACACCATCGCCATTAATTTTTTTTTAAATATTTTGACTTTTATTTAGTTATTCAAAGGCATGAGGAAATTTCGGTTTTTATTAGTTTTCTTAAAAACTATTGTCGATGAAAAATGTTGTTGTTCCGTTATTGCAGGCTACATGTATTTCATTGTTTCTTTTATTTTTATATCATTTTTGTTCAAGTTACACAGTGAAAGTGTGACGCATATTTTTTTTTATTATTCTTTGCACTAGACACCAGCAGCCCAGTATTATACTACTGGTATTTTGTAATATTAATTGAAGTAACTATACTCCCTATGAGGTTCAACATAATAAATCATACATGACATATTAATAAATATAAAACTATAAATCTCATAAATAATAGTAAGTCTTGCATTGTTATTATTTACTACTATACTATCGTTTATCATTAATGGGATCTCTGGCGGATAGTTTTTAAGGAGTTCAAATTAGGCAATTTTCAAATTGCATACATGTGGGCGTAGCGCTCCATATACATTGTACAAGTCACCGACTCAGAATTATGCTCATGAGCGGTTAACAATTTATGCTCAATTGTATGTACTTAATGTCTATCCTACCGATCGACCTAAGAATGCGATAAAGTTTCAGAATACTAATCTGAATTGGTTATAATGTCTATTTGAGATTGGCCGGTTCACAAATTAAGTTCGGATTTAAATTCAGAATAATTACTTTAATAATAACTTTAAAAATTCTGAAACTTAAAATTATTTTAACTAAATTCATAGTTATTGTTGAGATGAATTCGAGAAAAGTGGACTGCCCGATCCCAAATAGGCACAATAAAAAATCAAATTTTTATTTTGGAACTTTTTTTCTAGATTGATTTTTTTATTAAAATAAAATACATACATCAAATAAAAAGATATTATATTTAATATCAAACTAAATTAGTATGACCTTATTAAAATAAAAACCGGAAACACCAATGTAATTTTTTTTCTTTTATTCACTTATCATAAAAGCAATTTTTATTAAAAAAAAAAAAATTGAATATTCTATACTCAATAAATTATTATATACTTTTGAATATAGAACAATTATAAGTATAATTTTACTTTTAAATATTTTGGTAAAGCACATAACATTAATGCATAGTTACTTTTTGTTGTAAACTTCGTATCAGAAACACTGAATATCTACCATACTTTTCAAAGCTTTGTTGACAGCAAACAACATTTGCTCTACCCGTTCTCGATCTTCAACAACGCCTTCTTCTTCAACCAAAACTTCATTAAACGATTGATTAATTACATACAAAGTAAAAACTTTTTCGTCCAATTCATGTTCGAAATTGTTCAAAACTAAATTCACCATTTTATGGTGAATTCTTTTCGGTACATAGTCAACAATGATTTCTCTGATAAACTCAAAATAACAGTGAGTCAACCGTTTATGAATCTTGACTTGTTCTGATGTTTCAGCAGCATGGTCAGTTAACCCGGATAACATTTCTTTGAACTTTTGTATAAGATGTTCCTCTTTAACATCGCCCTTGTTCTGTTCAAAAAACGCAGAAATAACATTAGGAGCATCATTCTTTGTATTGCACTCATTAGTAGAAAAGTGGACTAATTTTAGCAAAAATATAGGGTTTTTCGTATTCAAACATGTCTGGTAAGTCTCAATGTGAGAATTTATACATTCTTTCAAGTTAGTTAGATACTCATCCAATACAGTATTAAGGACATTTCTCACCTGAGAACAAATAAAAATAATTATTCAAAACAAAATTGCATGTACGATTATTATTAACAAATTTATAACAGATTAAAATTGAACATGTATTAACATTTTTTAGCTATTACAGTATATATTCGATAGGTAATTTAACTACTTTTTATTTGTCTTTGTTAATTAAAAACAAATTGTTTATATGCAAATAATATAAATTTAATTGGGTTGTTTTTCATGTATTTAGACCAAAAAGAGGAAGAAAAAAATAAACATCCAGAAGACCAATTTTAATTCTGAAAAATATTTAAATTTGTTTCTTATCTGCATTGTTTTTTTTTTAAGTTACAATTAATAGCGTGTATTATACTCTCCACCTGCATCATACATATTAAGCGCCCTCATAAACATGTTGAACCATTAGATCAAAATAATCGAAAAAATTTGTTGATATGAAATAGCTGTACAACTAAAAAAATTATGGTACTTCTAGTTGTTTGATTTGAAAAATGAATAGAGGTAATTTAATCATACCAATTTTTTAGGGCATTTTTTAGGGCACTTTGGATGGTTTTAGAGTATTTTTGGATAGCTATTATTACATTTTTTTATACTCTCAATTTGATGTATGATTTATAATTTGTAGTACAATATAAATAAAAAGCAACTTATGTTACCTCAAATAAATTTTAATTTTAAAAACATTGATCACCTATTTATTAATGATTGGTGAGCAAACTTCAAGTGTAAAGTTATAAAAGTTTAGTCGGTTATTTTTGTTTCGTTACCGAAATCAGAATTTTAAATATATACACTATACTTGTTAAAGTCATACTTACATCTGAATTTATCCTGGGATATCTTTTTAAAGTTCCTAAAATATTTTCATCAATTAAATCAAATATTTTCAGCATCTCTCCACGTACAATGTCCACAGCGCGCAAGGATGGCTCAATTAGGTTATTCAACTGTCTACCTATCATATTCTCCAGAGCTTTTAGATTGACGAACGAGCTGTTGGTAATTCCAGCTGTGTTCAGTAAAATAATTCTTATCTGTTCTTCAGATAAGTTAAGTAAGGGATCAATTTTATTCACTTTCTCTGAATACTCTTCATTTATAATTTGTGAAATTCTGGCACCACCCATAACTGTGTTATCGGAAATATTTTTTGTGTTGCCCAGTACTGTATCACAATACGACTTGTATATTTCTTTAAATAAGCCTAATACAAATGATACCTTGCTATCAGGTGTTTGCAATGTTTTTAACTCATTTTGTAGTTTTGTCTTTGTGTCATTTAAATTTTTTAGCAATGCTGGAAGAGTATTTTTGATATGTTTTACCAATATATCTTGCAGTTTTTTAGCCAACACTTTGTTACCGTGATTTTTGTAGATGTCTGGGTAGTTCATTCTCAAAAAATCCTTTTCACTTTTCACCGTTTCTTTCATTGATTTATTGTCGTTTATATCTTTTTGGCTTCTATTGACCACTCCAATTATGCCCAGTTTCACAGGAATTCTATGACCACAGAGCAGATCAGTAGTGTCTTGAATTGTACCTTTGTCGATCAAATCTAACTTAGTAACCACGGCAATTGTCCTTGCACCTTCAGGGTCCATTTTTCTAGCAATTTTCAGACTTTCAGATGTACTTGGATCTGTATTAGCAGTTACAACAGCTAAAATTATTGAATTCGGCTGTTTTACATATTTTAATATAAGCTCTTGAATTTGCTCATCAATATCCTCCGGTTGATCGCCAACAGGTACTTTTGTGATTCCTGGCAAATCCACAAATGTGAGATCGAAGGACAGAGTAAAAACTTTCAGGACGATTGGCTCATGGGTAATGCCCTTGTTATCACCAGCCAAAACATCAGTTCGTTTTTCGATTTCATATCTTACTTCATCAAAATTTTCATAAATTATACCATCTTTATGAAGGAACGTTGCCCAACATTTAATATTACGATTTTTTGTTATTTTGACCATTTCCTGGTAGTCTTCTTCAGAATACCTAATCATTTGAAGAAAGAGTGGTGCACGAGTTACAATTCCTGTACCTCTAGGTAAAAAAGATTTACCGACCAAACTTTCCAAAACTGAGCTCTTTCCCGAACTCTGAGATCCGACAACCACAATCTGAGGTAAGTCAATTTTGTGTTCTCCGATTACAGCAAAAACATCCTGTAATTTGTTTACAATCTGAATCAAGGATTCCATTGTAGTATTGTAGAATTTCGATCAACAATCTAAAATATAAAAAGTTTGTTATTGTTTATTTATTTAATTTGTAAATGTATCAACTATGAATTAGTTTATAGTTTTGCTGTTAAGTACATTAAAATAAGTCATAGAACATACAGGAATACACAATTATCGTGCAAATAAAAATGTATCATTGATTTATCAATTTAATGAAATACCATTAAGGTATATTTTAGTAGATAGTATATATAATTACTATTCAACAATAATATATAATTAAACTATGAATTCAATTATGAAATGAGAAATTATATACTTAATTTATAGAACATACTAGCTAAATTACCCGTCGTTGCCGGGTTACGGTAAAAAAATCAAATAGCTGAATAATAATTGTGTATATATAAATAAATATAAAGGATGTATCATGTATACATCGTTAGAATAGTATGCAATTAATAAAAAACATAAAATGGAAANGCACTCATTAGTAGAAAAGTGGACTAATTTTAGCAAAAATATAGGGTTTTTCGTATTCAAACATGTCTGGTAAGTCTCAATGTGAGAATTTATACATTCTTTCAAGTTAGTTAGATACTCATCCAATACAGTATTAAGGACATTTCTCACCTGAGAACAAATAAAAATAATTATTCAAAACAAAATTGCATGTACGATTATTATTAACAAATTTATAACAGATTAAAATTGAACATGTATTAACATTTTTTAGCTATTACAGTATATATTCGATAGGTAATTTAACTACTTTTTATTTGTCTTTGTTAATTAAAAACAAATTGTTTATATGCAAATAATATAAATTTAATTGGGTTGTTTTTCATGTATTTAGACCAAAAAGAGGAAGAAAAAAATAAACATCCAGAAGACCAATTTTAATTCTGAAAAATATTTAAATTTGTTTCTTATCTGCATTGTTTTTTTTTTAAGTTACAATTAATAGCGTGTATTATACTCTCCACCTGCATCATACATATTAAGCGCCCTCATAAACATGTTGAACCATTAGATCAAAATAATCGAAAAAATTTGTTGATATGAAATAGCTGTACAACTAAAAAAATTATGGTACTTCTAGTTGTTTGATTTGAAAAATGAATAGAGGTAATTTAATCATACCAATTTTTTAGGGCATTTTTTAGGGCACTTTGGATGGTTTTAGAGTATTTTTGGATAGCTATTATTACATTTTTTTATACTCTCAATTTGATGTATGATTTATAATTTGTAGTACAATATAAATAAAAAGCAACTTATGTTACCTCAAATAAATTTTAATTTTAAAAACATTGATCACCTATTTATTAATGATTGGTGAGCAAACTTCAAGTGTAAAGTTATAAAAGTTTAGTCGGTTATTTTTGTTTCGTTACCGAAATCAGAATTTTAAATATATACACTATACTTGTTAAAGTCATACTTACATCTGAATTTATCCTGGGATATCTTTTTAAAGTTCCTAAAATATTTTCATCAATTAAATCAAATATTTTCAGCATCTCTCCACGTACAATGTCCACAGCGCGCAAGGATGGCTCAATTAGGTTATTCAACTGTCTACCTATCATATTCTCCAGAGCTTTTAGATTGACGAACGAGCTGTTGGTAATTCCAGCTGTGTTCAGTAAAATAATTCTTATCTGTTCTTCAGATAAGTTAAGTAAGGGATCAATTTTATTCACTTTCTCTGAATACTCTTCATTTATAATTTGTGAAATTCTGGCACCACCCATAACTGTGTTATCGGAAATATTTTTTGTGTTGCCCAGTACTGTATCACAATACGACTTGTATATTTCTTTAAATAAGCCTAATACAAATGATACCTTGCTATCAGGTGTTTGCAATGTTTTTAACTCATTTTGTAGTTTTGTCTTTGTGTCATTTAAATTTTTTAGCAATGCTGGAAGAGTATTTTTGATATGTTTTACCAATATATCTTGCAGTTTTTTAGCCAACACTTTGTTACCGTGATTTTTGTAGATGTCTGGGTAGTTCATTCTCAAAAAATCCTTTTCACTTTTCACCGTTTCTTTCATTGATTTATTGTCGTTTATATCTTTTTGGCTTCTATTGACCACTCCAATTATGCCCAGTTTCACAGGAATTCTATGACCACAGAGCAGATCAGTAGTGTCTTGAATTGTACCTTTGTCGATCAAATCTAACTTAGTAACCACGGCAATTGTCCTTGCACCTTCAGGGTCCATTTTTCTAGCAATTTTCAGACTTTCAGATGTACTTGGATCTGTATTAGCAGTTACAACAGCTAAAATTATTGAATTCGGCTGTTTTACATATTTTAATATAAGCTCTTGAATTTGCTCATCAATATCCTCCGGTTGATCGCCAACAGGTACTTTTGTGATTCCTGGCAAATCCACAAATGTGAGATCGAAGGACAGAGTAAAAACTTTCAGGACGATTGGCTCATGGGTAATGCCCTTGTTATCACCAGCCAAAACATCAGTTCGTTTTTCGATTTCATATCTTACTTCATCAAAATTTTCATAAATTATACCATCTTTATGAAGGAACGTTGCCCAACATTTAATATTACGATTTTTTGTTATTTTGACCATTTCCTGGTAGTCTTCTTCAGAATACCTAATCATTTGAAGAAAGAGTGGTGCACGAGTTACAATTCCTGTACCTCTAGGTAAAAAAGATTTACCGACCAAACTTTCCAGGACTGAGCTCTTTCCCGAACTCTGAGATCCGACAACCACAATCTGAGGTAAGTCAATTTTGTGTTCTCCGATTACAGCAAAAACATCCTGTAATTTGTTTACAATCTGAATCAAGGATTCCATTGTAGTATTGTAGAATTTCGATCAACAATCTAAAATATTAAGGTATATTTTAGTAGATAGTATATATAATTACTATTCAACAATAATATATAATTAAACTATGAATTCAATTATGAAATGAGAAATTATATACTTAATTTATAGAACATACTAGCTAAATTACCCGTCGTTGCCGGGTTACGGTAAAAAAATCAAATAGATGAATAATAATTGTGTATATATAAATAAATATAAAGGATGTATCATGTATACATCGTTAGAATAGTATGCAATTAATAAAAAACATAAAATGGAAAATAATTTAATTTTTTAAGCTTTAATTACATTTATAGATACTATAGATAGGTATACGCAAGATAAATTTTTATTTTATGAATGGGAAAACTATACATACTTCACCCAAAACAAAAGAAATGTATAAATACTATAAACAAATGAATTTCAACGAATTTGTGTATTATTATTATGGAATTTCTTTGATAACTATATTATTCATTGTAATGTCATTAAAAATCGTCACATTCTTTTGACACTATGCTTAATCTTAAGTACCTTTTTTCTGGCCCTGGCAACATGGTGACAATTGCATTATTCATCTCATCACAATGTTCATTTTTAGGTGTAAGAATAGCAAATTGTGAAAAAGTAGACACATTTTCTAAACTAAAAATAATATTTTCAAAAACTTTTTTTATTCCATGCGACTGGGAGTAAGTAACGGCCACAGCTACTAATTCCCGGATAGGTGACCACCCGGGTTCATAGTAGTTAAAAACCTTGCCACACATACACGTGTTTGCTATCTACCGTAACAATCGTAAAAAAAAAAAACAAAAACCAACCAACCAACCTTACCCCCTGCCAAAGTTCATAACCACTACAACAGCTAATGGACCTAGTCGCCGGGCTTAAGTTCAATAATAAAAAAAAAAAACTTGTAAAATTCAATTTCATTTTGGCGTACTCGCCTATTTCTAAATTGTTTAAGAATTTTAAAATTCGGCCAAATCGTAGAATATTTTATACAGTTTTGTATTGTAAGCTGTCTAGATCCATGTGAGACAACTGGTAAAACTTGTCGTTAACTTTACACTTCTAATAACTATTTAAATAATTATTTTTTTGGACGTTACTCTTTCGATGGCTCGGAGTACTTGCGTTGGAAAAAATAAGATGTATAACTGTCATAAGAAACACAAATAAACGATAGGTACAAAAAAAAACTGACGAAGACACAATATTATAGCACTGCTCTGTAGTTGTATTATGTGTGCGAGATAATTTTTATCGATCAACTTTTCGGAACAATTCATATCTACACGTCGATATAAAAAGGCCAGGTTACAGGTAGCTATGGAAACCCTAGGGTCGCCGCCTATATATATAGGTATCTATAATACGACAAACTTTATACTTCTAATTACTATTAAAATAATTAACTTTTTGAACTTTTCTCTTTCGATGGCTAATTTACACACCGAGTATTTTCGTTTAAAAAAAAATTGTGAAAATCGGCCCCGGTTGAACTTCAGATATAACCGTCACAAGAAATCGCTTCACGTTTTAATAATATAAAAAGATTATAATAATTAATACTTAATGATTCAAAATACTAATAGTATTATAATGTTAATATAAGAAATATGTCTGTATTGTAATAACCACTTTCAATGCAATTACTTTCATTATCACATTCTTATATGTCCAAAAAAATTAAAATGACAATGCACTTACGTCACAGAATTTTTTTTTAAATTGAAAATGAAGATAACCTCTTAAATACTAGTGTTAAACAATCATCATATTAATACTGATGATAATTATAACAATGAGAATAATAATTGTTATAATAACAATATCTATTATCACAGTTCGGCCTTCCTGATCTTTTCTAGTCAATAGAATTAACACGTGAGTAACCCTTGAATACATTTATACATAACATAACTAGCTCCAAGCATCAACATAACAACTTCAAAAAAAAAAAATTATCAAAATATATAATTTCATAACAATACCATTACAATACATCATATAAAATATTAATAACATTAAAAAAAATGAAACACAGCACATAATCATTAGTGCATAATAAAGAATCATTCCTCTACACTCTTAACACACTATCTCATACCGTCTGAATCAATCTCTTTCATACGACACTTGGGTGTGCTGAAAAAACTCAATATTTTTGCCTATAAATCTGTCATTTGGCAACACTTGATATAATATAGGACCTATAAACTT